AAAAATACCCAAAAAGAACCCCAACCACGCGGATGGCTTCTGCAAATGTGCACATTATGCTTTGGCTGACACGACACATGTAAAAACAGATCGGCCTTCCATCAGCGCTGAGTGCTTCGGATGGCGTCGCTCTCCTCCGTCTGCTGGCCAGGAGCTCAAAAACCACGGCGCCGACGAGATCATCGGTTCTTCCCTCGGCGCCACCTGCAGCCTGCTCCTTGCTGTATTGCGTGTTTCCCCGGCCCCCATCCAGAAGACAGCGTTGTGAGCTATGGCCACATGTTGCTCCCAAGACTTGAGCGGCCAGTCAGCGGGAAGAGCAGCGGCCGTGATCCGACCTCAGAAAGCAACGCCACCATCACCGTCTCAAGGAAACGCAGTTCTGATCAGATTCCCCACGGCGACCGGAAAAGGAGAACAGTGATTGACAGGACACCTGTCTAAGACTAGTCTAAGGTTTGCACCTTACGAAGTCCGCCATCGCCACATCAAAAAGCTCCTCACTGGCAGGACAAGCTTAGCGTCTTTTTCTCGTCTGTTGTAGCCGTTGACCCACACATATGGGGTTTCATGTGCGGCTCGAGCCTTCGGGAATGCGCGAAAGTCTTAGACCCTGAAACGCTTCTGGACGCTCTGGGCTTGGAGGTGTTCAACATCTGAGCCCCAGCGTTGCTGACCGTTCTCCTGTTGGTTTGTCTGACTCGGAGTGTCTGCGATCTGATTGCCGTGCTTCCCTCTGAGCCCAAGGAAGAACTGAGAGCCGACCCCTCACCGCTGCATGCTGTCCTCGTAAGCATGCCATTCCCGTCTTTGTGATCCAGAACCTCGACCAAGAGGGGAAGTGCCTCGTGCAGGACAGGCTCACCCAACACGTGGCGATGAACAGTTCCGATCTTCTACAGTACTGGTTCTGAGAAACACACTCGTCATGTCTACAAAGCCTCCAGATTCGCCCCACGTGACCTAGTCCACTTCGTCGAGGAGGCCGGCGAGCTTCCGTGCGTTCGCGAAGGACAGCCTGGAGGCTTACGCTGCGCATGCGCTCAAGCTCACACCGAACAAGCCCTTGAAGCACGAGACCCAAAGTCCAGGCTTCAAAAGGCGATGCCTCAAGAGCCTTGCGTAGCCTTCCGGGGTCGTGGCCTCCTTCAGCAACGGGCTTTCGCTTCAAGGCTACAGGCCTGAAGGCTTCATTGTGAAGGATGAGCCGGATCTGCCGGAGTTAAGATTGGACTTATCCAGATTACCTTCATTGGTTCAACGCCTTTGTCATGTTCAAGAACTCCGTATACTCTGACCCCTCTGAAACTCTGCATCCTTCTGGGGAAAATGTCGTCGGAGCGGGGTCCCTCGCCAACATCAAACCAACATCGAAGCCTCCACACGAAGACGACTGGAAAGCAGCCTGAAAGCCCGGGTGCTTCTTTCGGGTCCTTGAAAGCCTGCCGCGCGTGCTCCAGGGCCTGCTCCTGAAGTGAGCTCTATTCAACAAACATGAGAATCGATGAGAAGGAGGATGCCGGAGGAAAGTACTAAGTCAGTCGGCCGCAACCCGGCCCGCCGGGCCTCCATCACCTGGCGCAGGTCGACGCTTGGGATCTCCTGGAGGCGCAACGAAGCGGCGGAGCGAAGCAGAGGGGGTCTCCAGGATCACCAGAGGACCTTGAGATACCTAGAGTTTCGGTGGTTCAGAGTTTAGGCTTGAGGGCTGAGGGTTTCCCCTAAAGTCAAAGTCACCGACCCTCGAAAGCTCCTCCATCTCAGTGCCCGGAGCGGCCAGGCGCCTCACCTCGGCCAGTCGGGAGCGGCTCAGAGTGTGCCTGAAAAAATTAAACCTACGAGTACCTCTTCAGGTTGTTTTGATTTTTCCTCACATAAGTCCTTATCAAGGCAAGTACGTTGAGGTTCAGTATGTTTCGAGCGATGGCCAGATGAACTGAGGTCACCCGGATTGTGGAGGCCTGGACGAGGTATGTTTTTGCGTGGCAGGCTGTTGAAGAACGACTTGCCCTGCATCCCCAGCCTTGAGAAGCCACGGCACCTTCCAGCTGCGACCCTGGGCTGTGCCAGTTTTCGTGCCGAAGAAGAGCTCAGGACTTGGAGCCTGAAAGACTTGCGGCTTCTCTGGGAGGATGCCAAAGACAACAACGTGAGTCATCATGGCTTCAGCAGCAACAACAACAACAACAGCAGCTGTGATCGCTGTAATCGTGCCAAACACCAAGAAATCCCTCAGCAACGTCTGTGAACGATGATGATGGTGATGCCCCCCAAGCTCCTAAACCCTAAACCCTACAACCCCAAACCCGCAGACGATTATGGTCGCTGTGGCTGGCCTCGCAGGGCAGCGCCGCCAGAGCTCGGAGGTACAGGGCCTGGGGGGGGGGAGGGGGGGGGCAGCTTCTGTTGCGCAGCAGGTCCAAGAGTTTAGGGTTTGGGGTTAAGGGTTTATTTAGGTATGAGGAAACACTTTCGGAGGTTGTGACGGGACGGAGAAAGCATCGAAGGTGTAGGGCTTGGAAACTCGGCAAAGTGCACGCTGCATCACACTGCGAGGGTCAGAACTTCGATTACGTACCTGCTCTTTCGCGAAGCTTCCACCTTCCCACGGCAGGCCTTCTGGAACCTCTGCACGGCACAGATCTGATGCATTTCGGATGGGCTCCGCGTGTCGTTGTCGACGTCTTCCTCAAGGGGTCTGCAGGGAAAGAATTCGGGGCACTTGGAGCTGCACCTCAGAAGCAAGCCTACAACGCTGCTCCAAGTAACCATAAGTAACCCAATACCTCGGCTCCGCAAACTTGCTAATGGAAACCGAGGCCCCAAACAAAGGCACAGCCCACCCACCGCCCTCCACTACCACCGCCACCACTACCACCGCCCGCACCCGAGCTTCTGCTGCTGAGCCACAGGAGCCAAGTTCAGGCAGTCCGGAAGGCCCTCCTGCTGCGAAATTTATTCGTGAGCTATGGGGCTTGCCTCTGCCATTGCTTCCTGCCGCTTCTTCTTGTCTCTCCTGACTCTTGACTCCAGAACCCCTAAACTAAACTTAACAAAACCCTGAACCCAAAGTGCCTAAACCCAGGCTTCGCCAACCCCAAAATTCCTTCAAGACCCCAAAGCCCTCTGTCTCTTAGAGGGCTCTCCCTCCTCTCCCGTTTTTGCGCACCTCTGTGAACGGCCAGGCGGCTTCCGCCCAGAGCTCCTCCAAAAGCGAGGCCATGGGCGCCCAGGTGCCGCAGCTGACAACCACGAGCTCCTCACGATGCGCGAGAGGAGGGCAGAAAGAGGGAAAGGAAGGGACCGGAAACGGAACAGCACAGGGGTATCTGCGCAGACGCTTATCAAGAAGCTCGCAAAGTTTCGGGGTCGGCAAAATCAGACGGGCGGTTCCGTCTTTGTGCGACGTACTCAACCCTCCGTCGGCACCGTGGAGCCTCTCCCTGAGAATCTACGAGGCTTCGGAGCCTGCTCCTGCTTCGCTCCCGAGATCTTTTAAACCCCAGCCAAAGAATCCAAACGCGGCCCCCGGCGCTCCAGAACAGGGAGGTCGTCGTCGCTGCCACCAAACGTGGCGCTCGTCAAACAGAACTCCCCAGAGCCGAGGAAGCTGCCCGCCACGCAGTAAGCCTTGGCTTCTCTGTCCATGCCATTGCCATCTGAGACAACCCCCTGCACGGCCCTGGAGTTTCGTGCGGTTTGCAGGTCGACGTTCACTGCCCTGTGCGGTCCAAGGGCAGGCTGCCCGAGAAGCAGCTTCCAGTGGACGAGCAGGAGCCACGTCCTGGGCCCCAGAACGCTCATGCTTAAAGGAGGCTGGAAAAAAGGGGAAAGAGGCTGCTTCACTGCATAGCCAAGGGCCAAGGGTCATCACCGGGCTTGTGGCCATGGCAGAAGCAGCGCCGCAGCGCTTCATGAGCAGGCTCGGGTCGCGAGCACGCACGGCCACGAGGTCGTTCATGCCGCTGTCGTAGAAAGCAACTTCCTGTGATCCGTCCTCGGCTTCTGGTGTCCGTGACGGCTTTGTGCAGCTCGGGTGGACACAGGGGTCGTCTTGCCGAGGAAAGAAATGAAGGCTAAAAACTGGAGCAGTGTCGGCCGCGATGGTGGCCTGGTTCCATTCCTTCTGCCCAGGCCTCCAGCCACGCAAACTGCCCACAAACCACAGCAGCCCACGGTCGTTCTCTGTGCTCCCCAAGAAATGGGGCACAGACCAGTACTGAACGTGGAAAGAATATCGCGGGTCCCCCCGGACCGTCTGCAGGCAATTGCAAAGCTCCCCGTCCATCGCGCGGAAGAGCTGAAACGGCTGGCGGGCAGTACATGCCCAGTCCCAGAGAGAGGCCCCGTCTTTCAGGCACTTCGGGAGCAGCACGGCCACACCTCGCCAGGCACACATCAATGCCAGGACGGTGCGAAGGGGCAGGTGCTCCAAGACCAACGCTGCCACCTTTCAAACAAGACATTGGGTTTTTCCCTGGGTCCTGCACGTCCCCACAACGCCTTCCAGCATTGAGGGCAGCTTCTCCAGTTCAGCCAAGACACCTCGCCCTCCAGCATGTCGATGCTGCGCCCATTCCGAGGTGCCATGGGATTCGGATGCCCCCTTCTGATGCTGCACTAGCGCCGAGACTCAAAGTCTTTAATGTTTGCCGCATGAGGACCTATCAGATGTGCTTTCATTGTTCAAGGGAAACATCCTGTCCACCGCATGCTTCGGAACCACAAACCAAGATAGACCCCCCAAACACACCCTGTCTGCTTTGTTACATGGTTGGGGCAGCCAAGGTAACTCAATATGTAAGCGTGCAGCCAATCAAATCAACCAAACACACAGAACTCGGCTTGCTTAGATGGACACAGACCCTTGGCTTTGAGCTACGCATGTGCTAGCGTGTTCCACCAGCGCCGGTGTTCGCAACTAACTTTGCCCTTCAAGCTTGTGCTTTGCCCTTGGCAAGAACTTTGCAGCTCTGACGAAGACTCCAAGCCAGTTGCGCCTCCTCGTCCTCGAAGCACAATGACTCGCAGCTCTCCACAGTCCTCCGGCGTGGACGGCAAGAGCTCTCGACCCCAAGGCACCGCCCTCCGACATGTGGGAATTTTCACTTTCAGCCAAGGCTACGACCCTGTGTTTTCGTAGCCCCCTTGTTTGGAGCTGTTCCGAGGTTCAAAGATATTCAGATGTACCGATTTTCGGAAGGCCAAGGGTTCCGAGGTCTCCAAAAAGCTGCAGTGATGGTCTCGTCGAAAGCCCATGCTGGCTTGCACGTCTCCGGCAGTGGGTTGCACTGCTGCTACTCCAGATTCTGCTACAACCTCGAACTGATATGCCGACACATGCAACACGTCTAGCCCCCTGGGCACGGCGGATTTTTCCAACTTCCGGATACGGATCTCCGCCCTTTTTCATCTGGGCCTGGGCCGGTTTTTTGGCCTGGGACGCAGCCCTCTTGGCACGGATGCGTTGATACTCCTTCTCGGACATCTTTGTGAGGTTGGGCGGTTCCATATTTGCGGCCGTTTCTTGGACTGCAGGATCCGCAAAGAGTGCCCTGCATGCTCCGCCCAAAGCTTCTTCCGCAGCACCTCGCCCCGGGACGCCTGCCCACTCCATGCATGGGGAACTCCGCCCCGGTCTTCAGCTGTCACGGTCTAGGTCTTACACAGCCTCCTGACAGCCTTGAGCCCGAATGCAAACCCGCCTTTGGAAGCTTGAGACTGCGACATCGGATTGCACAGACTCAGAAGGAACTAACTTACTTCAGAATGTGAGGACACATTTGGCAGGAGCTGCCGAAGTGGCTGATGTCTTGGCTGCGACAATACAAAGAAACTCGCCGCGTGGCGTGCGGGTACACGTGCGCGAGAAAGTATCTAAGTATTTGTTCATCCTGCCGTTTGCGTTCTCTCACTCACGCCCCCTCGCACCGCATCTGAGTCTCCTCGAGGACGGGCCGATCAAGAATTCTTGGACTCCTGCCAGGGCTTGGCTAGAGCGGATAGAGCCCAGCGCTTCATCCAGCCATCGGGCTGGTCACAAGCGGGGAATAGGATGCCCCTGATCAGCCCTAAATTGCGAATGCTCCCCCAAGACAGGCCATCCCGAAGACCTGCCAAAAAACTTCTCAGCCTCCGGCCTACTGAATCCAGGATTTCGGCAGCTCTCGCTGCACGCCTGTTCAACGATAAGTGTCGAGGCTGCCAGCTTCTGGTCTCTCCTATTGGGGCTTTGGCGGCTGGTCCTTGCGTCCGCTTTTCTTTGCGCTGCGACAAGATTTCTTCTCCATGGTCATGGTCTCAGGGCCTTTAGGGGCCCCTCAGGGCCGTCGGAGGTCCTAGGATTAGGCCCTTGCTTAGGAATCGGCTTTTGGGCTTAGAAAATTCCATGTGAGAAGCACTCGCTCCACTGCAAAAGCTGCTTTGGTGTTGTAAACATCATGCTCTTGTATCCCGACATCGGCGGCGAGCGGCGACGCCTCCCAAACAAGAAGCCCTTGGCCTTCAAAGACAGGCAAACCGTGCAGTACTCGGCTACGCACCTGAGCTCCGCATCCAGCGCTTTGTAGCACCGGGCCTCGGAGCGGCTGCCGACTGCGGCTTCGCTCAAGGCTTTGGGCCGGGGGCCGAGGAGCCTCCGTGCTCTGAAGCCCCCAAGAAAGGAGCCGCAGACTGCCGGGAAGTGGTGGAAAAAAGCTCAGGTGTTAGGGGCGCCCGAAACTCCCATCCAACCTACAGTAACAAATGACATTTGGGCCCCCGGCCTTACGGCGCCTTTCCAGCCACTGCTCGAGACGGTCCAGGTGGCGATCGGCTCCTGGGAAGAGGCACTTGAGGGTTCTTCTTAACTGTGGGGTGCTCAGAACACGCCAAACCGATGGAAAAGAATTGCCGGCAGCTGTCATTCAAACTTTAAGCCAATTTATGCTTCCCCTTTTTTCGAGCCTGCTAGCAGGCCTTGGAGCCCAGCTGAGCGGAGGGGCTCGCGGGAAGCAAGGGCCTACATCAAACCCGCAGAGTTTTCAGTCGCCTACATTGACATCGTCCCTTCTGTCCTTCTGGTTCTCAGGTACAATACTGTCTAGCAACTAACAATAACGGACAAGTTCTGAAACCCTAGACATCTATCTCACAAGGCCGTGCTCGCCCCGCAGCAAAAGGGGGTTCCCAGCGAGCTGCGTCTGGCTCTCTCCGCTTTCCGAGGCCCTGGCCCCGACGGAGCACCGCGACCCCCCGAGCAGCGCGGGCCTCGGAAGCTCGTCGAAGCCGTGTGCCAGGGGGTTCTTCGTCCACAGGACCTACGATTCTCCCGGGTCTCCGAGATTGGTCTAGTTTAGGATCGAAGCGGTTCGGCGATTCGAGACGGCGCGCACCGTCTTGAACAAGCGCTGAGGTCTCAGGCATCAGGGTGCGGGTGGCTGAGACTCTAAGTCCTAAGCTGAAACCCAAGGCTGGAGACTCGGGTTGGGAATCGGAAAGGCTGCCTGCGACTTTTTTTGCCACGGCCCAGCCATCGAGTAGGCTCACATGCCCAGAGACCTCAATGGATGGCGAATGCACTCTGCCGTTGCTGCTCTCCCTCAGTACGACTGCTCTACAATACCCTGCACAAGGTCAACCAGTGCCGAATACAGTGAGCGATGTACTCAGCTCGGGTGACGGATTCAGCTTGCAGCTAAGCTTCACCAACCACTCCTTGATCTTCCTCATTCGGCAGGTGATTTTTCCCGCGTCGTTACCAGCCGTCATCCATAGTTATTCAGGGCAGACAGCCATGCTTGCAGACGTCGGGTGTGACCGTCATGTTCCGATATCAAGCACATGTCAGCTGCAAAAGCTCTGGAGATCTTGAAATGGCAGATAGAAGAATGTGCAGTCTCTTCACAGCTACAGTAACCAGACCGTCCAAGCGTCCAAACATGAAGGCCACGCACTTCGAAATGACCCGCACGAATCCGCACAGGAGCTTCACAAACCTGAGTTCTTGACTGCACATCTTGCTGCTGTGAAGCGCCCGGTCGCTTCCCTTTTATCAGGCTCCATCATGAGCTGCTCCCTCAAACGAAAAGTACCAGACCATGACCCTTCCAAACATGCACCTCGACACTTCCTTCACATTCATTGCCCAAAGCCTAGCACTGGCGCGAAGAAGCCTGCATCAGCTCCTTGCGCATCGCTTCGATGTCACCGAAGAAATGGTGAACGACTGTGAGCACCTGAAGCGATGAGCAGAAACCTTTCGCGTGTCGCCCTGGTAGGTGCTCTGCTCTCGCAGGATTTGAGTCTCCAATGTTTGTTTAACCAACGGCTGATGCGCTACAAGTAGAGGCTCTTGCAGTGGGCAAGTTGCCTCGCAAAGAAAGCTGGGGAGACGCGCCTGAACAAGACTTCCTAAACAAGTTCAGATCCCGTCGGTAAAGAAGCCCTCCCCGCCTCGCTCCCTGCTTTGTGGTACCGGGTGTACCTGAGAAACGCTTCAGGATTGGAGGCGGTCGGGGCTCAAGGCGGTGCCGCGTCCCGCGGAGCCCTGAAAGCCAAATCTCCACACGTCCCATGCAAAGCGAGGTACACGGGAAGGTTGCCGTTGTGGCTGCGGAGCACCTTGGGGTCGCCAAGGTCGACTTAGACGTAGCTTCGAAGATCGAAACTCTCGGTATCAACCGTGCAAGCAGAAATCGTATGACATCGTATTTCCCCACGTTCTGCCGCCTTCCAGGGCTTCGTGGGCTGGTCCTTTTCGATGGGCTCGAAAGGCAGCGGACTGTTTGGGTCGTCGTAGGGCGAGTTGATGGAACCCTCACCGGGCACCAGAAGCCTGCGATGAGCAGCCGTCAAAATTCATCCGTTCAAATTTGAACTTCCCGGCTTTGCGGTTTCCGATTTCTGCTTCGGGCTGTGGGCTGCAAAATCTGAGCATGCACGACTAGATCAACATCGAATGCACCGATGGAATCCCAAGGTGGTGGCACACTCCTGAAACCGTCCGTTCAGGCAAGGAACGAGTTCAATCGCGGCACGGCCCCGCCGGCGGGGCTTCGGATTTTCATGTCGAAGCCGCCCTTCCTGGTGGAAGTTAGAAAGGGCAGAAGACGGACGCCCTAACCCGCCAAGCCACAATGCAACGCTCAGAATGTCTTCTCCAGCAGCAGAGTGGACTCAGAGATTCGGACAGACAGAAGCGGTTGAGGGCTTTAGGCTTCAGCTTAGCTTCGGTCGAGTGACAAACAGATGGACAAACCCTGCCGGTCAAAGCTCCCGTCTTCTAGCACCTATCCTATATGCCGTACTGATACACGAGGGCCCACGGGGGTCAGCACCCCAACAGGGCCGCCGACAAGCACCTCCAGAAGCTCCATCAGTTCCATTGTTTGCATGGTTTGCAAGGGCTCTACACTCCGTGCATCGCTGCTCCAACGCGGGCTTAAGGCAACGTCTGCCAATTTGCCGGCACTTTTCGCATTCACATCGACACCGAAAAATCAGCACGATGGTGATGATGGGTCTTACAACCACGAACATCCTGCGAGCCGGATTGAAAACATAAACCACTCAGATGCATGCAATGGCTGCACCCAACCCTGACTCCGTGCTCTACGACAAAAAGCATGCATGCATTACTGAATGTAATTAGCATGCGTGTATGCACGTATGATTCACACTGCGGCACATGAACCGAGCGTCCGAGGCTTCGGGGGCGGAAAGCCCTGGGACCAGTCGCGCTGGGGGTCTCTCCGCGTCATCGCGGGCTTCCCACCGGGAGCCACATCCTGTGAGCAGGACGCTGAGGCTCTGCTAGGGCTTTCCGGGCTCCGGAGCCTCCGGGACCTAGAGAAATCCGGTTCATTGCCTGTTCGGGTCCGGCGCTCGAGCCAAGGAATGCTTGGGTTTTCCAAACGTTCAGCTTTACAAGATCATGAGTCGAGGGACTTTTGTTGAGGATGTGAGCCGGTCTCGGTGCATGCATTATGACATGACATGGAGCGGACAGCTCAAAGCCGGCTAGATGCGAGAATCTGTCGTCTTACATGACTTGACCACCTCGTGGGTGAGTGTGCACGTGGATCCTTCAGACATGCCCTGCGTCCTCTACGCTCACCACCAGAGGCACGGGCTGTGGCCGCATGTTGCGGCGCGCGAACGCCCGGCATGGCACCTTACTCCCAGGCATCCAAAAGCCCTTCTACGACGGCTTGAGCGGCGAGGAAAATTGTCCCATGCGATTGGGCCCTGGACGAGACGACAGCGCAGCCAGCCAGTGGGCAGTCGGGCTGCCAGGGCTATCGCCATCCCATGGCTCCCAACTCTTGCTCTGCAGTCACAAAGCTCTCGCTCGTCTCTTTCCGGATTAGAGCCTGCTCTTAGGATCTTACGAGTTAAAAAGCTGTGAATGTCGAGTATGAGGAGGCTGTTGCAGGGATTGAAAGCCTGTACTCCACTGTGCTCTGCATGGATGCATATCTTCCTCGATGAAAGCAGCTGGGTGACCCGGCGCATTATTCGCTTCTGCACTATCACTCCGCGCTATCAGGCAGAACCCCTCCGCACGCGAAAGGCTCACTGGGCTCTTTCTTTCACCAGGGCTATGGTGTAGGGGTGTTACCCCCTACACCGATCGCACGTGCGCCCCCGACTGATCTCTCTCTCTCTCTCTCTCTCGGCATGAGGACGGGTCAACGTCCTCGGGCTTAACAGCCCACCCACTGCGTTGAGTGGGGCACTGCGGGGAGTGAAGAACAAGTGCAATGTTGCTGCCAGGGCTGAAGCCATATTATGATATGACGTTTTGCATTAGCACCTGCACTCTCCTCTACGCGGCTTCCAAAAGGACGAAGTTCTCCCCTGGTTGCAACACCGAGAGATAATCACTGGGCTCTCTCTCTCTCTCTCTCTCTGGCAGAGATTCCTTGTAACAACCTCGATCATGACAAGAAGCATGCAGCAGATGCATTCACGATACCTGAGTTCCAGACTCGCTGGCGGTAGAACCAGCCACGCTTTATCTCCTGGAAGTTTGTTGCGGCCCTCTGCAATCGCCCAAAGCTAGTGGGCTTCGTGCTCGTTTCACGACCACCGCCGCCCCGGCCCGGCCCGGCCTCAGCGTCCCTCGCCTGGAGATCGGCGCGGTCCCCCGCAGCCACGAGGTCGAAGTCGCGACCGGAACCGGCTAAGACCTGAGAAGCCGAGTGTCTGAGGAGTCCCATGTCAGGCGGACAGGGCAACGCTTCGCATGGCTAGAAGCTTCAGTTCACGCATTCAAGACACGAGTGACAGAACTCTTGTACAGATCAAACACGACTTTTCTTGCAGCCTGCGAAAGCTCCGCCGCAACTAGAGTAAATTGTCGCAGGGAAGGCTTAACACGCATGAACATGCCTTCTGGTTCTGGTTACTCACAGGTTTTCATGCGCACATACACGTTTGGGAACCGGAAGATGCTTTACTACTCACGCCCATGGTCGCGGTGTTGCTAGCCAGAGCAGCCGGCACAGCTTGCTGAATTTTGACTCGCAGGCTCGCACAAGGCAGGCATGGATTCCAGGCGACAACTCCGAACTAGAACACTCTGACGACTCATTATCGTGTGACAAAGCTGCTTCAACAGACACCAATTACGTCAGGTAGCAAGAACCGATTTAAACCATTAAGACCACCCAGCATATGACATGGCATCACACGATAGCCCACTGAGATCAGCGCGGGAGGACTGTGCGAAGCAATAAGTTAGCCAACATGCTATGGAAGCATGCTAGAACAAGAAGAGCACAGCACCACCCATAGACCTCAATAGCAGGCAAGGGACAGGATGCGCGTGTTGACATCCTCCAGCTCTACGATACTGCAAGAAAGGAAGGCTTTGCCACTAGGGTCTCCGCTAGGGACACTGACGAATAGACTACATACAGGCGAGGGACGATATGTAGCGTTCAGAACAGTCTCTCAGGACAACTGTTCCAGCACAAAAGGTGCCAGCCGCGCCAGTTTATCGGCACGGTTCAGAGCTCTGCACTCCCAATGCAAGGATTGAATTAAGCAAATTCATTCAAACGGTGGCAGCATGCACCAAGACTTCCAGCTCCAGCGACAATGACGAAGACAGATCGTGCGACAACGACCCTGATGTTGTCACTTGAGCTCCTATGAGTTGACTTTTCTCCACCCCTCCTGACCCTCCTGCCAGTAGTACCACTGGCCCTTCCACTTGGACCACTGCCAGTTGTTCGAGCTGGAGGTCTGGCTCTGGTAAGTGGGCCGGCCCAGTTCTCTGGCCAGCTCTTCCAGGCAAGGCAGCATGCGGATGTCCGTTGAACCGCTTGGCGAGTCTAAGCATGAGAGTAGAAGTTCTCGACTGAACGTGATGCCGGCGTTGGTGTAGACCATCTTGACCTCTGCAACGTCGGCACGTGCTTCTTGGGTATCTTGGGCAGGAGCCAGCTCTGAATGACTTGCCACAGGCATGTCACTTGGGGGGGTCGCTGGTGCAGGATTCGCGCCTGCCACTGCAAGTGCTGCGGCCCTCCTGTTTCTGGCCTCAACCAAGGCTTTCAAGTGAGCCAACTCCTGCTGGAGCGCCGCCAGTTTCCTGTCCTGGCTTGCCGTCGCATGTTTGATGGCGATCAGTCGAGCGTGTTGCTCGTGCTGCTTCTGCGCCATCGAGGCGAAGGCATCCTTGAGGCTTTCGAAGCCTTTCTGGATCATGGGACCGTCCATGGCGCCGATCTCAACTAAATGCCTTAAGCTGAATCTATTTTTCTGATCGCTTCGATGCCCGATGCGGCTATGTGAAAGACCGCAGCTGCAAGAAGACTACGAGGTCGCATGTCTCGCGGCTCTGGGCTACCGCTGCATCTGTGCCTGCAGCTTCGACCGTACACACCGCATCTTTATCGACCGCAGCCAATGTCACCATCCGTGTCACAGCGCTTCCAATGCTTCCATTAAGACGGAATGCCGACAAGCTACAGACATATCCCTACCATCTGAATGCAAGCCTCCGAAAGCGATCGCTGCTGTTGCAACCGCTACGATGACGAACACTAGTCCTACTCACGACCACGAACACGACCACCAACACTACCAAAGCTACCACAAGTTGATACCCGCGCCTGACCCAAAATAAGCAGCGCCCCCGTGTCCGTTTTACATTACTGCCTGGGTGCTCTCTAAGGAAATATTAGTGTAAAACACAGCACCCTTGGGACTGGGTTCTCAGGGTCGGCTTTTTCGCATGTGAGTGCGCATGAGGGCAGCTCTGCACTCGGACAAAACACTTGTTTTTACCCCTATCTACGACCGTTTAAGTTTAAAGGCCAGTGAGACAGTGCCCCAGACTCTAGACAATTCCCCGGTTGGCAACAGTGTCAAAATTTACTCTCCCTCAATATGAGTCGCCCTCAAAACACAAAAGCTGGTAGGAATTCTGGCGCTAACTGTCACCGGAGTACTCGATAGAGGCACTACTGTATAACGACAACTCCAGCCAATACTCCATCCTAGATGCCGAAATCATGCAGGCCTCCTCACAATCCTCCTTGGCTGGCACCTCGACACGTCCCGAAAGCTCTCGGAAGTTGGGTTGCAGGTATGGGCGTTTCTCTGTCCATCGCCCCGAAATGCAAGAAATGGGAATACAGGAACCGAAACGTTCGCATCTAGGAAACCATCGATCCACCCCGGGGGCTGGAGAAACAGCTTCTCAAGATGGTTCGCGAGTCAGGCGAGCTCAAGCGAATGGGGTCTTGACTAGAACCGAAAACTCCCGACACCCCTTCCCAGACGAGGCAGCGACCTCCGCGGGAGTCCCCTCTACCTGGGGGCTCTAAGAAGTGTCTGCGAAGGGCATGGCGGTAGAGGATGTTACGTCGTGTTGGAACATGAACTGTTGAAAAGAATCACTTCTCCCAGCCACATCAGGCCAAAGCTTCCTGTGAAGTTGTTGTTCATGCTTGTACTTGTAGCTACTGTCGCAAAACCCCAAAATCCCGAAACCTCACCTCCTAAACACTGCAAAGTGCTCCAGCACACGCAGAACGCCAGCATCCCAAACTCACCAGCTGCCGCCTGCGTCTCAGCTCCACTCCCCGCAGGCTCAGCGCCGTCCTGGCATTCAACGTCGAACGCTGACGATTTCGCGGGGAGCTGCTCGCTTTAGCATCTGTCTCCATGAGAATGCTGCACGAAGAAGACAGAAACACACGTGCGGAACGGGCCACAGGATGCAGGCATGCACATTCAGCATGGTTTGGGGTTCAGGGTCGGGCTTTGACATTCAGAAAGCTACTGCAATGTAGACGAGCCCGTATTGGAAAGCTGGCTCTGCGAAAGTTTCCGTCGCTTGTGAAAACTTCCAAATTTACATGTCCAAGGTTGGTTAGCCGGCACTTGGCATCTTGAATTTAAACCGCCATCTTGCTCGCGACAGCGCCAAAAGGCCACATTAAGTCGACATTTATGAAGTCATGCATGTCAGGCCTCCATGCTCAACCATCCGCGACAGCAGGGCTGTTTCAGCCGGCACGCGCATTCTAAGAGGAACAAAAAACGTTGACGGGATCTGAACGCTTTGTACAATGTGCGGCTTTGGAGGTCTTTGCTTTTTTGTCCTGTTTCAAGTTATAGCTCGAACTGTTGGACGCCATCGAAGATGTGCGACAATCCGTATCATGAGGCCAGAATGACACCAAGCAGCAAAGCAAAGCAGGTTCTCTTGAGCAAAATTATTTGGACATCTCGCAGATGCATCACGTATGCCGGCAGCAAGAAGAGAACTGCATCAGCCACATGCTGTCATGGGCTGCAGACCTTTTTTTCGCCTGGCACTTTGTCTCCCTGGCATTGTGAAGTCGCTCTCAAGCATGCACACATCTTCAGGAAGACGTGGCATGTGGCACTGCTGCTCGCAACAGCACATACAAAGATCCCGAGCACATGGCTCTCACAGATGCCCGGCACATACGCGAACACAGATACGTAAGGTTTGAGGCAGTGGCGCCAGCGGCATTTACAGGCCTGGGTGCATGTGCTGCTTCATCATCTGCTGCTGCTAGCTGCACTATATTCGAGATGTGCAAAGTAAACTGTCCTTCTGGAGAGTTGCTGTGATAATTTGCAAGTCACTTCCATTTCCCATTCTGAACCACTACTGGGTCCAAAGCTTAGCTTTTGTACACTCGAACCTTTTCTGCTCATACTGGTGAATAAACGATTAGTTCTGGTCTTCCAAAGCAGTTTTCAGGTGACCGGAGGCCTCTAAGCCTTTGACCAGAGCGGAAGATGTTGTGCGGGTAATTAATGTCGGTTGATTTACGTATTCGTTCCAAGCACATACATATACACATACACAAAGGCATATGCACATGCATATACATATACACAGACATAGACATCTACATCTACATATACATCTACATGTACATATACATCTACATATACATAAACATATACGTTTACCTATACATAAACATAACCATAACCATAACCATAAACATAAACATAAACATAAACATAAACATAAAAACAAACATAAACATAAACATAAGCATAAGCATAAGCATAAACATATACATGTACATATACATATACGTATACATATACATATACATATACATATACATATACATATACATACACATACACATACACATACACATACACATACACATCTACATCTACATCTACATCTACATATCCATATCCATATCCATATACATATACAAATACACATACTTACACTTACACATGTACATATACACAAACATATGCATATACATCTACATCTACATATACACAAACACATACACATCTACATATACATATACATATACATATACATATACATATACATCTGCATATACATCTACATATACATATACATATACATATACATATACACATACATATACACATACACATACATATACATATACACATATACATACATATGCATATACACATACATATACACATACATATACACATACACATACATATACATATACACATACATATACACATACATATACATATACATATACATCTACATATACATATACAGATACATATACATATACACATACACATACATATACATATACATACACATATACATATACATATACATATACATATACATATACATACACATACACATACACATACACATACACATACACATCTACATCTACATCTACATCTACATATCCATATCCATATCCATATACATATACAAATACACATACTTACACTTACACATGTACATATACACAAACATATGCATATACATCTACATCTACATATACACAAACACATACACATCTACATATACATATACATATACATATACATATACATATACATATACATATACATATACACATACATATACATATACATATACATATACACATACATATACATGTACAGATACAGATCTTTCTTTCATACGCTGCAGAAGAGATCCGCTTTGCGAGGCTGTTATGACAGGGAGCCACCCCGGCTACTGTGAGCCATGTGCTTTGCACACGTCGGTGAAAACGTGCTAGCAGCCAGAGCGATGACATAGGACCTGCCACGAATGGCCCATGAATGTCCTAGACATGCTCAAGGCTGCACGGTGCGGCAGTAGAAGTAGAGGTAGCCCGTGATCAAAGCTTGCAATGAGAGCGCAGAATGGACTGTCGGCTCTTTTGCATCGTCGCATTGCCAGTGAACGGGCTCTGAATCAGGAGGGTAAGTGCAGAGGAGCGCACGGTAATGGCCGGAGGCTGCATCAGGACCCTCGTGCATAATGATCGCAATCAGCTGGTATTCGCAAAGGCGCACACACAGGGCGGCATCTTGCGGGATAGGGTGATGCTGAAAACAGGGTATCAGAATGCGAGGATCCGGCAACACACTAGTGACATCCTTTGCACCGGCAGCCGAGGGGCTGAACCGATTAACCTGCAAAACCAAAAGGCCCGGCTCACAGTCCATGGCAGTGAGCCCAGCAGCAGCTTGATCCTTCCAGGCATGGATGAGCCGCTGGATTGTGACCCGACCACTAGTTCCAGTACCGCACTGAGAAGGAGGCGTAGCTAGGAGCATTTGCCATGCGTCCCCACAATCGCGCACCTGACAACGGGGGGGATTGCAGTCAATAGAAAGCAGCCGATTTTGCCACCTGCCCATGAGCAGATCCGGAATGACAAACCTGCGGCAGAAGGCAAGGTATTCTGCAACGTCATGCTGGGAATGAGGTCGAGCCCAGCGAGAATGCAGGAGCGACCATTGGAGAGATGACCAGAGGTCCGGAACAGGCGCCTGCGTAGTCATTCGCCGCACGACTGAATGCATGGCCGCGGACCACATCACCTGAGGACGAGCCGCGTCAGAACACAGCAGTTGCTTGGCCCAGTGAAGACAGCACAGCACCGAGTTGGCGTAACAATGGTTGGAAGCATTGACAACACGAAGCAGCCTTTCTGAGTGGAGGACCCCTGCAAACGACGAGCGAGTTCGGTTGCCAGGGCTGATCGGCCCATTTTCTCCGGACGCAGAGATCCGCCCACCAGCTGCCAAATCGCCGAATTGGCCAGCGATCGGAGGCTCAGATAGAGCTCGGCTGCTTCCGGCGACCTGTGACCCACCTGGAGCAAGAAGGGCACGGTGGGACCCTGAAGGGGGACGGAGTGGAGTGGAATCGCATGATGGCCAGAGGGCAGAGGCATTGCTTCTGAAGGAGCTGCAACTTCTCGAGCATCGTGGAAACCGGGATTGGCTGTTGATCCTGACGAGGTGCCAGAGATTTGGTCTCCGGGTTGTAGCTCAGGAAGGGAATGCGCAGCTCCGTGTCGCCCTCCTTTGGAAGAAACACCTGAAGGGTAATGGCAGTCTTCAGTTGCTCGTCGTTCTTCACGGTGTCCTTGATGCGCTTCACCAGGGTCTCCATCATGGTGTGGAAGAGAAAGGATCGTATAGGGAGGGCAATCTCGTCCATCTTCTCCTGCTTCTGCTCTTTCAGGGCATTCCAGTGCTGAGACTTCTGCACGAAGAGAGGAACCAGGGAGAGAGCACTCTCTCTCTTGAAGAACATGACAAAGCCGTTCTGGGTCCTGTCGATGCCCATCTGATCCTCGTGGCGCAAGAGGAGTTTGCCCAGCAGCCACATCATGCCGTCCGGGGCCTTGGAGTCCGACTCCGTCGATCGGCGGAGTGGCTGTCGACGAGGCCCGTTGTTCTTCGGCGGCTGACCTGATTGGTTGCCTTTTCCCCTCCCGCCTCGGCCGAAACCACCCTTGGATTCCGGTCTGGCCCACTTCGTGTCGCGCTCCTTCTCCTGGTCCTCCGCATCTTCCATTTCGTGACGCTTGTTCGCCGCATCCAGAACCATCGCATCCTCTCCCCAGCACTGGAGGAGCTGCAGCTCGGCCTGAGCCTCCCGTTGCTGGATCTCCTGTAGAGAGAGGCCGCTGCCCAGAGCCTGAGAGGAGGCCAAGCTCATGGCGGACGAGGATGCGCAAGGTTATGGTCTGCTGCAGAACAGGGCAAGCGGCAACGTGTTGAGTTTTGAAGGACACCGTACGTCTGCACCAGCTACAGGGAGAGCGGGCTGCAGCCGTACGTGCTGTGAGCCAGTCAGCTCGCATGGACTCTTGAAGTGCAGAAAGCGGGTGCTGACGCTTCAGATGCCGGAAGATATCCTGTGTGCGAGTGAACCATTGTGGTGACAAACAGGGCAGTGTCGCAATCCTTGACCAGCGTGCATGATACGAAGGTGTCGGGGGTTGCCAATCCTCCTGGAGAGCCAGGGCACGGATATCAGGTCGTTGAAGGAGGGGTAGCGCATCCGAGGGCGCAGCCGAGGAGGAGGAAGAAGCAACCTGCGTAGGTGGAGCGGTGCTGGGGACAGAGCGCTCATCACCAAGATCAGGAGCTGCGGCGGCCAAGACAGAAGAAAAGAGGCAGCAGGTGCAGCAGGATTTTTCACAAGGGGGCCGTCATGGACCTGCGCGGGACATGAATTGGTGTAGTGCTGGTTCAGAAAGGGTGGCCAGGCCGCAAACCGTCGATCACACAGGGCACAGTGAGGCATACCATCCTTACTTGGCAAACTGCATGAACCTGTTTGCGAGGGGGGACGCGGATGAGCGGCAGGCAGTGCGGCAGAAGGGGTCGGATTATCGGCCGCCTCGCGATTAGGTGTGGCAGTGTGGGCCAGGGTGGACGCAGCAGCAGACGCCTCGGGGGGCAGTTCATCCTGGTCGGGCGGTTTCCCGTGCGCTTTGGTACAGTGGGTACGAAGAGCAATCAAGGTGGGGAAGGTCTGCGGGCAGTGTGGACAGGCAAAAATGCGCGCAACGATGCCCGAAACATCCACAAGACCACAACGAGAAGCGCTCTCGGATGGCTGCACAGCAGAGGGCTGATGAGCTTGAGGATCAGGCACAAACGAAGCTGGAAGAGCAGCACGCCAGCGTTGGCGTTCAGGAGTGTCGAAAGCCTCAATGCTAAGGGAAGGCCGGCTGTGCCGGGACTGCATTTGAGTGGCCAGCTGGGCGATAGGGTCCTGAAAGTTGAGCCTGGCATAGAGATCGGCCGTGGTTTCATGAGTGCTCCAGCTGGGAGACTTGAGGACGAGACGAACCTGCTTGGCCACAATTTGACGAATAAGGTCAGGCCCCCGAGGAGGGAGGCCGGTGCTGGTAATTCCATACCTCAGCGTGGAGAAGACACATGCCGTCCAGAGCTGTAGCCGTTGCTTAGGTGGACTGTGCTTGGATCGGAGTAAGGAGAATAGACGGCTGAAGTTGGCCCAGCTTTGCTTGATTCTGGCTTGGAGGGATAGCTTCTCAAAGCAGTCGTAGCTAAGCACAATGCCCAAGTAGGGATGCTGCTTACGAAAGGGCAGGTCCAGCGAGCCGGTGGCGCACAACACACGCAGACAGGGGCCCTTATCTTTATGACGCTGCAGAAGAGGGCGCAGGAGTCTGGACTTGGCGGGGCCACGAAGTCCGTCGATGATGACTGTTTTGGAGTCACTCACTGACATTCCAAGGGAGGTAAGAGTGTCGATAATGAAAGCGATGTCCTGCAGAATGCGAAGGATGTCATCTGGTTCATAAACCTGCCACTGTGCAAGAATATCATCTGAGAATGCCGTTATAGGCAGGAGAGGGGGATTTTTGCACTCAGGAGGTGGAGAACGTAACAGATGAAGATGCTCCACAGTGCAGGAGATAAGCTACATCCTTGACGCACACCTGAATGGAGCGCAACATCAACGGTGTGTGATTTGTGCGCAATGTTGAGAGTGGCTTGGCGACGTATGTGGAGGATGAGATCTATCAGCGTGGGCTCCACAGCCGCAAAGACAAGAGCTTTGTGCAGGATTTCACGCGGCAGACAGTCAAACGCACGGGAAAGATCTAATGAGAGGGTGATCCCCCCTTTACATTTACCCACGGTGTGCCCCTGACGACGGAGGTGGATATTATACTTTTGCGCTTCAAGAACCGTACGAACAGCTGCGCAGTGGGAGCATGCTCGTTCGATAGAGTCGTCCACTGATCGGCCCCCGATGTAAGCAAACTGGGGAAAACGAGTAGCAAGATGCTGCACAATTGGGCGCAGGAGTCCAGCTGCCATCTTCGCTAAGCATTTCGAAACCGGGTGAAGGAGGGCAATGGGCCTGAGGTTCTCAGGGCATTTCGGAGGCTTTGTCGGTTTAGTGAGGAGGCACAGCGAAGACTGAGGCCAGCGCCCCGGCATGGGGGCCGTCATGTTCGTCAGCCAGTCGGATAGTGCAGGGTGAACAGTAGCGGCCACCTGCGTAGCAGCCAGGGTCCAGAGCGGGGCCGGTGCCAGCCAAGAGGGCAGGGCCTTACCAGTGGGAAGCTGCGGCGTTGGTGAGCTCCTCCAACTCAAACGGGGAGAACGAGTGGCCCGGCGGGGGAGGCTCAGGCGAGGAGGAGCGGTAAAGGCCTCTGAAGTAGTCTTGTAGGGCTTGCGCTTCCTGGCCGTGGTGAGAGGGGTGCCCTGTTGGTCACGGAAGAGGATGGGCTTATGAGCGGTCTTGGGGGCAAGACGCTTCACCACCTGGTAAACAGCCGTAAGACCTTTGTGGGCCGCATGCTCCGCCTCTTGCAACATCTGCTGAATTTTGAGCTGCTTGTTCTGAGCACAGAGCAGTTTGAAGTTCTTGGTGGCCTCTTTCAGCTCAGCCTCCTTGAGCCAGACCCGAGAGGCGTGAGGGGCCTGTTGTTGCACAAAGCTTCGGCGTTCGCGGCGGAGGCGCCAGAGGCGGACTACGGGTCTGGGGGATCGTAGAAGGGGAGGGTGCAGTGAGTGTCCAGGCCTGCAGGAGACAGTCTGAAACGTCATCGGGCCTTGCATGTTCCAGGGATATTCGCGCCTGTGCCTGAAAGCGAGCGGCAAGAGTTTGGTCCATACGAAGTGCCGTCCTAACAGAGGCCAAGGTGGCGGAAGGGGATGAACGTGACTGCTTGGCGCGCTTGGGCAGAACAGGTCTGAGGATGGAGCCCAGCAGGGGCAGGTGCCGCAGCCCACAGGGCTCGACAAAGGGAAGCCAGGTTGGTCCAGTACGTCTGGCAGTACTATCGGCAGCGAGGTGGCGCGCAAGCGCAAAGTCTATTTGCGTGCCTCTGTTGCCCGTGGCCGGCAGAAAAGTTTGTGCATGAGTCCCCGCTCGGCCAAAAGTGTTGAGAGCCTGGAGCGAGAAGGTACGAGTCAGCTGCTGGAATTCCTGTTGATCCGGGGGGATCCGTCCGAGGCGAGTGCGCACACCCTGTCCAACACGCGGCGGATCAGGGAACAGATCGGTGTTCATGTCCCCTAACACCAGCACGGAGTTCCGACGCGGGAACCTGGCAAGCGTTTGGTGCAATTTGGTCCATAGTGAGGATCGCCTGGCCAGGGCCTGCTCCAAACCAGCGGCACCAGGGAGCGCCTTCGAACAGGTGTTGATACACAATGACCACATCCAGGGATGGATTACCTTCCAGGCGTAGGTGTACCAGCCTGCCTTCGATGATGGAGGTGAGTTGGATATGGTCCCGCTGAAAGAACCTGAGGTTCACAAGCACAAGGATGCCGGAGACGCGATCCTGACTCGGAGAGGCAAGAGCTTGCCAGCCTTCCATTTTGAAAGCTAGGTCGGACGCCCAGTGCGTCTCCTGAATCACGGCGAGGGCCAAGTGCTGGCCTTGAGTGCGTAGCCAAAGGGCCACTTGCTGATAACGTTCGCTGGAAAGCCCACCGGCATTCCAACTCAGAAAGTGAAGCCTTGGTGGCTCGCGTTGTGCAGGGGCGTGTTGAGCACGTGTGGTGCGAGCGGACCTGGGTATGATGGAGCAGTCACTGTCAATGCGATGACCACGGTACATGGCACTGCCACATCGATCTGCCCTCGAGAGGGCCCTTTGGAGAGCACGTTTCCGAATGGAGGAGGCAAAGGAAGTTCGGGAGAGACGGGGAGCAAGAGCGACAAGAGAGTCGCGTGGCTTTGCCTGAGGAGTGAAGAGGAGCCGTTCTTCTTGAACGGCTTCAGGAGGATGGCGACTGCCAGTGCCTCCAACCCTCGGCTCAGGGACATGCATTGTGGCGCAGAGGGATACACAAGCGAAGAAAGCGAGGGGGCGCCGAATACAGAGAGTCCCGCCCGGACTTGGGACCGGGCGCAGCAGTACACAAAGAAGGGAAATGGTGTTCTGAGGGTGCAGAATGGTTCTGGGAACTATACCTGTGTCGATGCCGAAGAGGATAATGGACACTACACATCCTTCGTAGCAAGTAGGGCCACAGCCGGTGTGTCTGAAATTGTCGGCGACAGCGAGGCCGGGCGCGGAACCTGGGGCGGGAGACCGAACGCAGACGAGCACATCGGAGGTGAAGACCATAGGCTGGGCAGCGTGAAGGTGAGGTTGTCGAAGGGAGACGACCTCCAAGGCTCATGCGTAGGCAATGCAGGATGCGGAATGGCTGTCTGCAAGGGTGCTCCCACTGATGCAGCATGGACTGGTTTGTGATTCCGCGCAGGTCAGAACCAGTACAGGATCTATGGGCCGCCCCTTGTGGATGGCTAGTGACAGGGTGCACAGCCTCCGGCAGCCAAAATGTGGTGGCATAGTGTCCCACGCTGCTGGGCGAGCGATAACTGACAGAGGAGTCAGGCTGAAATGCAAAAGAGGCAACCTCATGCACCTGTGTCGCGACGGTTGCGCGGGCTTCTGCTTCGCTGCAGTCTGGCACCCAGTGATCTAAGGACCGCTCTGGCTTCGCAGTGTTCGATCTCTGACCGGTCAAGGCTGGCGCGCCAGCGCTCGATCGTCTGTTGCAGCATCGACACGTACGAGCTGTCTGGGAGCTGTGCTGTGGCCTTGGCCGTGGAGGATGGCATCGAAGGTCGTAAGAGTTGCAGCTCCTGGTCCGGAACAGAGTGATCCACACCTGTGTTCGAGCCCTCCTGCTGGGCATCTTGTGCTGAGCCCCAGCCATCGAAGAAGACGCCAAGGTGATCTGTTGAGGTCGGGGCCGCCGTTCCACACCAGGGGGCGGGGAATCCGGCTGCAAGGTGCCAGGCGTGACCGGGGCAGGCACGTGCTCAGAAGAAGAAGCGGGCAGCATTGACGAAACCATTGGGCAGGAGAGTGAACGCAGGAGCGAAGCAGGTGGAACTGAGCGTAGAGTCTGCGAGAGCAATGTATCCGCCAGAAAGACGCAACCGAGCACAGCTGCCTAGCATAGCAAAGGCCGACGTTGTTCTGAGCTGAGCACCGGACAGGATTTCGCCCGATGGTCCGCAGAGCAGTGACCTGAGCAGAGCGGAGTGTAGCATGCACGTCAGCGTGCGGTAGCAGAGCAGGAGACGGCAGCGCAATCAGTGCAGCAATGTATGCTTCCACTCGATCGATGTCCGGACTTTGCCCAGAACTCGCATCTGCATCTTGCTGTACAAACCAAATGCTGCGCGTCCTCGGCCTAAGGGCTGGATCTGGAACGTAGTCAGGGTCGTGCATAGGTACATCCATATCACGTCCATCCCTCACTCCCGACCTGGTTGAGGAGCGCGGAGCAGCTGTGCCGGAGGTCCGCTTATCCGATCTTTGCTTGGACTTCGATTGCTTGTGCTTGATCCGGGTCTCGGTGTCGTGGCCCAGTTTGGAGCCAGAAGGCCGCTCAGAGGCCGGATCAGGAGTCGAGCCGGACAGTCCTGGCGCGGAGGGGTCCGCAGTAGTAGCCTCCATTGGCACAGGTGACTTGTCGGGTGCGCCATCCGCAGGTAAAGGCTGCGAGAGTCGGCACAAAGGGATTCCACAGTCACAGTCTCCATTGACACAGGGGATCGGTCGAGTGGGCTATCCGCCTGAGGCTGAAGAAGCGCCTCTATGACCTATGAGGGCTCCCGGGCCTTTTGGGGTCCCTGGTGCAATGGCCGTTCTTGACAAGGAGGTCTCAGGTTCCGTGCCGAGATCATCAGCTGGAAGAGGCGTCAATGTCATCAGTGGTGACGAACCGGAGCCTGAGGGGGAAGTGGCCGGTATCTCCAGATCAATGATGTCTTCTGGCTGGCTGCGTTTCATTCGCCGGGTTTTGCGAGCACACTGCAGCCGGATGTCGCCCGCATGAACCTCCATGGTGCTCTCTTCCGTGTCCGAAAGCAGCTGGGGAAGCTCTGCGCTTTCCAGAGCAGTCATATCTGAGGGAAGATGCCGTGGAGGATTGTCCCGCAGAAGCACACTTGGCCGTCTCTTCGGCGTGGGGGCCAAACGTGGGTGAGAGGTCGCGGGCTCGGCTTCTCCGGAGGGAGTAGATCCAGCCTTGGGTAGCGAAGAGGGCGGTGATCTGCGACTTGTGCGGACGGTCTTGATGATGTGTTTCAGGAAGACCGTCACAGGCGGCGGTCGAGTTCTCCAGGTCATATACTGGAGGAGCCAGTGCATCGCGGTCTTGGCGGTAGTTGAGGCAGCTGAGTGGTACCGGCTCGCCAGCGGAGACTGCCGCCCTGATAGTAGAGGCCACTTGCTCAATGGCATCACCCGAAGCAGGCCGAGGAGCTCGCAGCTCTGGCCGAGGCCTGGATTGCTGTCGGGCCTGGCGTTTCTGCCGCCTCAGAGACATGAGGGTAGAGGGCCCACGAGGGGAGCAAAAAGCTTCCTCGGCGAGGAGAATCTGAGCGCCGATACAAGAGAGCACAGATCGGCGAGGCATGTCTGGTCCAGCGGTCAAGGCTGCATGGTACAAGGCAGAAGAGTCGACCGACGGATGGCGTGGCAGACAGCTTAGGTCAAGGGCACAACACGGCCGGAGCGTGTACAAGGACAGCCACGTGTCCAGGCAGACATTGCGTATCCAGAGAGGGCAGCGACCTGGGCAGGATGAGAGGCAGAGACTGTGACAATGAGGGGCGGCTGGATCTGAGCAAACATGTATGCACACACTCGAAGGCACAGCCGCAGTGATTTTGCAGGCGCAGGCAAGACCGGTGCGCAGGCCAGGCAGCCAGCTAGAGCAGCGCTGTTGGCAGTATGTTGGCTCCCCAAAACAGGTCTGCCGAAGGCTCGTTGAGCTCGGTGCCCATAGAGGCCCCACTGAAACTCCTCATGGCCCGCGACTGGCAGACGGCGATGGTGGCGAGGAGAGCGGAGTTCGACACGTCCTGACGGTGATGATATATTGCAGGCCGGCCGGCGGCAATGGTATGGCAACAACACTGCCGGCAGGGGTGACTCGAAACGTGTGATCCGCAGCCGTGGTAGCCGAGTGAGGGCCCATCTGTAGGCAGTGCAGCAGGTCCCGGTGGTATTGATACGAGTCGCACTTGCGGAGACCACCGCAGCTGGCCGGGCATGGGACCGGAGGTCCACTGGCCTTGGCCCTTGATGTCGCGCCTGTGCCAGCCTTGGGCGCTCCTCTTGCCTTCGGCAGGTTGACTGGCGTAGGCGGCGGCGGACCTTTGGGCAGCACAGGAGGCTCGCTTCGGGGGCGCACCCGAACTCGCAGAGGCCGCTTCACCCGGGCCCATCGCCCCCGATTCTGTGCTCTCAGAACTCGAGACCGGAGGGGAGTGATGTCTCCGCTTTTTCTTCGGTGGCATAGGACTCCACCAAGCCAAGGGTCTCCAGACGTAGAAGAGCAGAGGCCGTCAGGAGCAACAGCTGCCCACCATGCAGCAGAGGAGACGAGGGCAAGGCTCGGAGCCCGGGGCTGCGAGGGACGTGGTGAGTGCTCGGGAAAGCCACTGGCAGTAGACGCATGTGCAGAACGGACTGAGGGGCGAGTGCAGCATAAGGCGTGGGCCGAAGCTGCCCGAAGCGCACCCAGGTGGACGCATAGCACCGCCTGAAGAACAGAGTGGCAAGGGGACGGTGTTGCCGAGCGACACCAGGAACTGAGGACCGCACGCCCGGCGAGTTCGGCCAGTTAGGAACGCAGCCTGCAGGGGAGCACGGTTCAAACACCGGCCCGGTGGAAGGGGCTGGGCAGGTAGATCACAAACTACCGTTCGATGGAAGCAGAGGCAGAGTGCTGCAACAGGCACTGCTCGAACTCTCGAAATTGCATCAAACACAAGGCAGGAGCATGATGTAGTGCAAGAACAGCCTGCATTTCTTATACCGGCAGTCATAGGTGGGAGCTGACGCATGAGCCAAGATCTAGTCCATGGTCTCAAGTTGAATATTGCGGCGTCCAGCTGCATGATCATCGTCCCGTGGCGACCTGAGCGAAAACCAATCCCAAAAGCCAGGAGACAAGGCCGCAAGAGTGACTTGGTCCAAGGCGGGTCTGGGAATGCACAGCGATTACCAGTGACCGAGTACGTGTAGTCCGAAGCAGAGGTAAGATTTTGCTGCATACGGAAGAGCTGCTTTGCCAGCGGCGTGAGGCGGAGCCTGTCATCGGACGCCCTAAGCTGTAGAGTCCAGAGGCCGTGGCATGCAGATGGTCCTGAGGCGCCCGGCTGGAAGCTTTGTGCCAGCGGCTCCGCAGGTGCGGAGAGCCACTGGTGGCACTGAGCGCTTCGAGTGCAGGGGTGGCTTGCAGCATGCACAGCGGACCTGAGTGGTTATGAGCCCAAAAGACCGACTGTAATTAAAGGCTGCAGCCAGCCTGTGTGGTTGACCTGACCAAGTGTAGCCATCGACGAACCTGGGATCAAGCAAGGGCTAGGCAGCGTTGTTGAGAGGGGTCCCAGGTGGTGTAGGCAGCCCACTGCTGCAAGTTCCTGGGTCGAGTTCCTGCACGGAAAACAGTGCAGCCCAAGAAGACAGGAGCTGATAAGTGACAGCCATCCGACACGGCCTCCGAGGTGCTGCAGCTTCTGTGGTATCTTGTTGCAGGTGCTGGTGGAAATCATAGCGCCATCCACACTGCTCCAGTGCAACACAGAAAACTTCCTTGTACCAAGGTCCATGGCACGAGTAGGCCAATGGCCAGAACCCCGAAGAAGCCGAAGGCCCACAGAGCCGAAAACCAAGAACCCAGAACACCAAACCCAACACAGGGGGCACCCTGCTGCTGAGCCTTACAGATACAGATACATATACAGATACATATACAGATACAGATACAGATACAGATACAGATACATATACATATACATATACATATACCTATACTTATACCTATACCTATACATATACATGTACATATACATATACATATACCTATACGTATACATATACCTATACGTATACATATACATATACGTATACATATACGTATACATATACATATACATATACATATACGTATACATATACATATACATATACATATACATATACGTATACGTATACATATACATATACGTATACATATACATATACGTATACATATACCTATACGTATACATATACATATACGTATACATATACCTATACGTATACATATACCTATACATATACATATACATATACATATACATATACATATACGTATACGTATACGTATACATATACATATACATATACATATACATATACATACACATATACATATACATATACATATACATCATATACATATACATCATATACATATACATATACATCATATACAAATACATATACATATACATATACATATACATATACATATACAGATACAGATACAGATACAGATACAGAGACAAAGACAGAGACAGAGACAGAGACATAGACATAGACATAGCCATAGCCATAGCCATAGCCATAGCCATAGCCATAGCCATAGCCATAGCCATAGACATAGACATAGACGTAGACATAGACATAGACATGGACATGGACATGGACATGGACATGGACATGGACATAGACATAAACATAGACATAGACAAACACATATACACATACATATACACAATATGCGTTTGTTGAAGATCAGTGGCATTGCTCAACGAATCCAATGGTTTGCAAGAGCATCTGACTGCGTTGGGGATGAGCGCAGGAATGGGGAACATTCTGCCTCAGCTCGGGCCGGCCGGAGAGTTTGCGTGAATAGCTGGGCGCTCGATTCTCGGGTATGGTGCAAGATCCAAGCTCCAGGACGCAGGATTTGGTGCCTCGGTTTCGGTTTCAAGCGTAGCCCGGGTCTAGTTGGGGTCTTTGGTCAAAGGCGACATTCGGTGGATGACTTTTAAGTTTGAAGTTTCTTTCGATTCTGGGTCAGATCGAAGCTTGCAACTCTGATGTTGAGGCTCGCGGTACTGAATTCGGTTCTATGCTGCTCGTACCTACTTGTACGCACTCCTTGTCCCTGCTCGTGCGGCTGAAAAGGGTTTTGCTGTAGATTCCATGGAGGTGGGGGATCGAGAAACCTGGTTACCCTGCTCGAAGCTTGTCTGGCATTCCCCAATGTATCCCTATAACAAAAATTGCAAGGTTTGTTTGAATCGAAGACCATAGACATAGAACGCTGGTGGTCCTTTCTGCTGAGATGTGAGTCCGGCTCGCGACGGATCTCCAATTACAATTAACAGGTGTCAAAGGTCTGCATAGCTTGGACAAGACTCAGATCTTGAAATTCATCCAGCACTGAGAATTGGGTACAGAATGCACGCAACGAACAACTTCAGGGCTGCAGGGGCAACACATCCTCCAGGCAACTTGCCCGTCTGGAAGTAGAAGCCGAAATTATGGAGTTTTGTTCGGTGCGAGGACAGGTTCGGTCCATGGTGGGGGCGCTTCTGTATAGGATACGTTTGGATATTATCTCGTCGCTAACAACCCGCATCGATCGCATCCTGAGAAAGGGCCTTGGGGAAGTCGTTCGTTCGAACACGCCGTTTCCAGAGCGTTCCACTGCACCTCCTCAACTTGAGAGAACCTCTGGCCGTTCACCAGCAGATGAAGCCAGCGGCCAACACTTATGACTTGACTTGTGGCAGCACCCCCAAAGCTGTTGTTTGCTGAGCCGATGCGGGCGGGACGCCGTCGAGCGGAGTTCCAACGCAGCTAGGCCAAGCTCTTTAAAGCGTTGCCACCTGCGCAGGACACATGTCAATGTCAATGTCACCGCACTGAGACGCACTCAAGAGGACGTCCCTTTCAAGACCCTTCCACCGACTTCCACCGCTGCGCGGGCCTCCGAAGCTTCGCCAGCGCCCCGCCAAGCTGCGCGGCCGTCTCTTGCTCCGCCTCTCGCTTGCTCCCTCGCATCCTGTCCCTAAGCTCCCCAAGCTGAGCTGCCAGGCCGTGGCAGATCGGCCTCACAGGCGGCCAGGATGGGCCGGGCCAGGATGGGCGCTGCCTGCAAAAAGGCGGGCCCTAAGCTACTCGGAGCACGTGCAACGGCGCGCTTTGAAACGCCAGATCCAGAACATACGTTTGGAGCTCTGAGCACTCCAGACAGGACATGCCGGGCACCCAGCACATAAACCACGCCAACAACCGTTCTGCTAGAGGCGCAAACACGTCATGACAAGACTACAGCATCAAATGTCCTTCAGTTAACAAAAAACAACTGCCAACATGTCAATGGCACCGTCTACGCAATCCTTCTAGCACTCTGAGCACGCTCACTCTGAGCTTACCACTGCGCACCTGGATCACGCCACCTAGCCTCCTACAAACTGGCCTTGTAAAAGGCCCAGCAGAAGCTGGCCGTGGAACTGACCCAGGTTGGAGTCGACGTGCTGGGCCTGCACCCACGCGTCGAAGTCGACAAGGCCCGCCTCCGAGCGTGAGAGGAGGTACTGGCGGAAGTCGACCAGGTCCTCCGACTTCAGAAACACTTGGAGACTCGGTCAAGGATCCTTCGGGGGCCCAGAGGCGCGGGCGACGTGCACGAAGTCGTGCGAAGAGGTGGTTGGAGTCGCGGTGTGCTTTGGAAGGATGAGCGGCGGGACATGGACCTTTCAAGAAGCGACGCTGGATCTTGGGCTCGGGGATCGTGCAAGGGAAGGGAAGTCTCAGTGGCGCACGTGCATGCTGTCGGGAAGACTTGAGATTCAGATGGCCTGCACTTGAAACACACGGGCTTCGAAGCTAGCTGTGAAAGAGCTGCCAAAACAGGGATGGATTCCGCCGTGGAACTTAAACCTGAGCCTTGTTCTTGACAGTAGCACCTGTACAACATCAGGACATCCGCATCGGGGTTCAAACCTTTCTTCGCTGCATCACAGCATGCATCACTGCTAAGCTGCTAAGAGCGAAATGCTGTTGCGTTCCACCTCCTTTTAATTTTTAGACAATACTACCAGTACACCTCGCATCCACTCATATCTTTTAACTCACACTCGCACGTCTCGAGCTGAATCACCGGCAGCGCCGAAAGTTCCACCTGGCCGACAATCGAATGTTGGCTACTTGATACTGTGTTGTAAGAGAAGTTGAGGCTCGCTTCGCTGAATATATGTTGCCATTTGCTCAAGCAACAGATCGCCCTGACGTTGCACATGTTTTTGATGAGCATGGCGACACATCTCGCAAAGGCTCATCCCGAGAGAAAGCCCGCACTACCAAGCACATTGACATTGCATTCTTCCCAGCACGACGTATGTTCAACACAACTACCTATTCCTGCTCAAACGAAAAATGCCTTTGCAATTCAGATTCGGTGAAACATCCATTCGCTCACCCAACTCTTGAAATAGCTAGTAGTTGGTACGAGTACCACCGCAGGACTCCCCGGTAGGTCCTTCAGGCCCTTGCCTCTCGATCCCCGCTTTGGCACCAAGGACCTCAGAAGAATTAGGACAGCTTCAACACGGCAGTTTCGGGTTCCAGCAAGACGTCTTCATGAACCCCGTGCACGCCTCCAAATTGATCTATCGCTTCGACATCCTGCAGCCGACAATGTCTGTGGCCCGCACACTGGCCTCGAAGCCATCGACTTCTTCACCTGGCGTCACTTGCGGGGGTCAAGGCTTGCTTGCAGAGCGTTCGGCAAATGACATGCTCCTGCCCTCTTCCGCACCCTGCCCGCGGACCTGGCCCGCCGCGCACCACTTGGAGTTCTCGGCTTGAACACCTGGAGGCAACGCAAAAATCTGAAGACTTCCGTCCGTTGTTGGGCTGACCAGTAGCTGTAGGGCCGCGGCGTGATTCTGACTCTCGTCTCAGACGGGCCAGGCTTCTGGAGCTGTGGTTGGTCCTTCTTTGATCGTCCTGAGCAGAGTTTCAGCGCAAACAGGTTCTACACTCGAGGCGCTTGCGTCGCTGAGCGGGGCAACGGCACATGCCTTGAGAGGGGCACTGCTAGATTCGGGTCAGGGCCTTGATGGTAGACACTAACAGCACTAACACCAGCCAGCGTAGCTCGGGGTGGGCGTGGGGTTCGTCCGGCTTCGGCTTTCAGCTGCATCTCACCCTATTTCAACTCGCTGTAGCACCTCTAAAGTCTCTAAAGCGCTCACAACACACAGGCCTTCAATGGAGGAAGGCTCGTACAAAGAATCGCTCATTCGACGGGCGCCTAAAAAAATCCTATCACGGAGTTTAGGGTCTAGGGCTTGTTTTCGGAAGGATCCTTCCGAACTCGGTTGTCGGAGATCTCCTGAGAATCCCCGGCCCACTGCCCCTCTTATATAACGTGCCTGGGATCACTTGGATTTTGAACCTTCCCAATAAAACCTGCCAGGCCACTGCTTCTTGAGCGCGAATCGGAAAACATGCCTGGAAGGAGGCAGCCAGGACTCTTCAAGATGCAATAGAACTGAGCAGGCGAGCAGAATTAAGAATTCAGATCAGACCCGGCAACGGACATCTGCTTGAGGACGGTGCCGATGTGATGTGATCACTCAGGGCCTGCATAGAAAACATGGCCAGGCCAGTAAGTGACAGAGCAAGTTAGTGGGTGGGTGAGTGCATGGGTGAGTGGGTGCATGAGTGGATGACGGAGTCGCAACAAGTTGCTTTTGTTGATTGCTTGATGTCTGGACTCTGGACATAAACGACGAGATGTGGTGTGTATTCTTTGTGCGGCTGCCTTGTGCTGGTGGTGTTGCTGACGCTTGTCAGACTCCAAACCTCTTCGAAGGTTGCATTCGACGAAACTGGCAGCCCCTTCCCCTCAGACCGACCCCGAGGGCTCTGCAGTTGGAAGCTTCGCTGCCTCGACCCATCTCGCCACGGCACCCAGCATGGCCGGCGCTTGCGCAGCACTTCGTCAGGGAGAGGAAGCGCCACCCCCCCTGATATGCTCGCCGGAGGCAGCGGCACCCATCGAAGCAGTATCCCGTGGTCAATGCATTGCACAGCCTGCTGTGTAGCCTGAGTGAGGCATATTCCAGCTTTGTCACGCAGTCGTTCAAGTGTGTTGAGCACTAGCAAAACCCTGTTGTCCATTGTTGCTGACGTCAGTACCACAACAACGACGACGACGGCAGCAGCACCAGCAACTTTCCTCACCGCGACAATCACCATCCAAGCACAGCTACGGAGGCGGAGGCACGGAAGCCTCCTCTACAGGCCCCTGCTGCGCCAGTGCCTGCCGTCGCGGCTTTGCAACGGCAACGACGCACAGCAGGAGGAAGGTTGAGGTCTCCAAAGCATCAGGTAAACGGCTTTAAAAAGCCTCGCTGATAACACAGTATGGATTATCTGAAGCTCCCTTCATGTGTAATAATTGCTGAGTCGCTGCAATTTCCGCCCGCGCGCGCTCGTGCTCGGGAGACACGGAAGCCGCGGTCTGCGAGGGCGAAGGGCCGGTTGTCGACATATCACAAGTGGTCGTGCTGCATGTGCTGCTTCATCTATCCGAGAGGACATCCGGAGTGTCCTAATCCGTTTCGTATGAACCCAAGCAAATCGATCCCATGCGTGAACCCAGAAACAGTTAGAACCATTCTCGCCCAGTTTGGGCTATGGGCACCACTAGCCTCACACCATATCACATCCACCCATGGGCCACACTTCCAGCCCAGGCCATGCAACGAACCCTAAACCCTACGGAACCCAAAAAACCCTAAAGGCTGTGGGCTCTAGGACGTTTCAAACAAGGTTTTGGGCTTTCTGATGCTTTCAGGAAGGCCGAAGTTTCAAAGCTGGTTAGTTAGCTCGGGCATCTGCACCTTGTTGAGGTCGAAGTCACGCCAGTCCTGAAATGCTGCCGAGCTTTGCCGTGGAAGTGCACGCAACACAACTGGCACGCTCCCGGCTGCACAATGGCTGCTCAGCCAACCTCTGACACATGCAATGCCCTACTCGAGCATCCAGATCACCCTCCTCCTTGCCCCTCTGGCACCCCCCCCTTCAACTCGCTCTATTCACAAATCCCGAAACTGAAGGAATGCGACGGCGTGGCTACACTGCTCAGGGTTCATGCTACCATCCTGGCAAGGTTTGGGAGTTTAGGATGCAAGGCCAACAGTCCTCCATTCGAGACTTCTTACTTCGCGACACCATGTAGATTCAGTTTGTGCTATACTCAAGGTCCCAGTAGAAAAAGGGGGCGTGGAAGTCTGAGATGGGTGTCGCCTTCGAGTTTAGGCGTTTAGGGAACAAGTAGACTGAAAGCTGCAAGGATGATGGCTCCTGCACATTTCGTGGTGGTATGAGATTTGCTTGGGAGCGGTGAGCTCTCGCACTTGCATCTTTGGGTTCAGTCGACTGGTGCACGGAAACAAATTGGCTACGAATATGCTAATGTACATTCAGACGACGCACTGAAGGCACATGATTGCAATGTTGATGCTCACCGTGAGCATAAGGGCCTGAACTACGCAGAACACCAAGAAAGAGCGTTCTTGAAGCTCCCGTTCGATTCTCGCCTCGCTGGTGTGAGCCAGGAGGGCTTGCGCTGGCGTGGCCTGGCCGTCCAGCGGTTGTCGGGTTTGTGTTCAAGGCAAACTTCATCGATGCGATGCGCAGTCTAGGTATCGGGTCCGAGAACACATGCAAAGAAACCTCTGAAGCTAACGGGCTTCCTCTCCAACACGACGCGTCGACACTGACGCCTGAAACTATTGAAACCATAAGCCTGCTGAATCCTCGAATACTTGCGCGGCACTCGTAAGCTGACGGAAGCTCGGGCTTGAATGCCCCCACCTCCCCAACACACAGGATCCGCCGGCGAGTGAAACATGTTGAAACCCGGCCCGCAGAAAGTCTCTCGAGTCTAGCTGCGTCTAGCCGCCTCACCGACAAACGGAGCAACTCGAACAATACGACACAATCAAAGCAATGCCCTTGTCCTAGCGCTCCTTGTGAGCACTGGGCAATGTCCGAATGTATCGAGCCGATGAATACATCAGACCCTTGCCCTCAACGCATAGCGGACCGGATGATCGATTAGATGTAAGTGTCCGATGTAAAGCTGCCGGCATGACTTGGGCAAGAGAGGACAGCAGCCGTTGCTGTTCAACCGCCGCATCACCACTGTGTCTTCGCCCTGGCACTGCGTGCAACTGGTGGCGCGTGTCTGAATGTGTCGAGCTGATGCTTCCCTCTGACGATCGCCTGTTAGGCTATCTCAGTGACACGACCATCTCAGCGAGTACTGTATCTTTGTGGCGATGGCAGCGCAAGTTGCTCGGAGACTTTTGGGGGGCCGACTTCAAGGTATCTCGTCTCTTGGCTAGTCCAAAGACTATCCGTCAGTGAGTACCTCTCAATGTTGGAAACAACCAATACAGCAGGAAGCAGGCTGGCAACAAACATCCACAGCAACCAATGGCTGCAAAACGGCAAGCCAACATCTGACGGCAGGCATGACAAGAACGGAGGCATCTTTCAGTTCCAGGAACTACTTCCTGTAGCCGCACGATTATCCTGCCTGACCTGGCGAGTTTCGCGATAGGTTAATGACTCGAGAGCCGTGAAGCAAAGCTTTGGCGGCACCAACGTGTCGAGCTGACTTGGTGCGGCGCTACACCAGCTGGACATGAAGCCTGTGTAACTGTGCTAGCTGCACAAGACCTGGTTCCGGGCATTAATTGCCATCAACCGAACGAACCAGCGGCCTTTGCTGCCCCGCACTGTTGCGCATGGCTGATGGTCCCGTCGAATACCTTTTGGAGGCGACGGCCAAAAGTTCGCGAGGTTGATTCGTTTGGGGCTCCGGGGGCTCGATACGTGTGAGCAACAGGTCGCTGCCTGACCTAGGCCGCAAACCGTCATGAACTGTGTGGAAGGCATCCTTGACCATCCTGCATCCCCCGAACCCTGGACATCCCTGAGCTCCGAAACTCGGATGCAAGATGTCGGACCCCATGGTGTCGATAGCACGCTTGCTGTAAGCTCTAGTGTCCGTATGATACCACTGTGCATTTTGAGTGAAGACAATACAAGCCGCCGGCACAACACTGCCTTTGCACTGGTTGATGATAAACATTCTGCTCACAAAATGGTACCATTCTTCAGAACATTGGTAACGCAACCTTTGGACAGTCGTAACAATGATGACAATCAGTAGAAATAGAAGTGATGGCTGTCGCAATGCTGGCAGCTTCTATGTACAGAATCCGATGGGGTCAAGTGATCGAGACAGCCTGGTTTTGCAACGCCAGAGAGATCAATTTCTGCAAGGTTTGGGTATCACCCTTGTCCTCATAAGCCGCTTCATGCATAAACCGCACCCTGCACAAGCCACCAACTGTTGAACCATCTCGGGACCTGCCTCCGAGCCCAGGTCTGGCGGCCATCAGCCAGGAATTTCCACAGGCACTCCCGCTGCAACACGTGAAATTAACAGATTGTGAGTTTTGCCAGATTGTGTGTAAGACAATGCTACTTCATCGGACAAGCAATTCCCATGATTGAGCCGAAACGGCCTGTGCGAACATCGTGCTGAGCTGCGCCAAATACCAAGTTAACCAAGAAGTCCAGGAGCTGAACCTAGCCTTAGCAGCCCTGCACTTCTTCCCAAAAAGCATCGCCTTCTCTTGCTTGCTCCAGGCCGTTTGCTGGTGAGAACGCCACGAGGTCTTGAGTCTTGAGTATTCTTGAAAGGAAATAAGGTTAAGGTTAAAGTTGTCGTTTTCGAGCTTCATTGTTGCCGGCATGGTTCCCCACACAAGACAACCCAGCCCTTGAATAACTGCATCTGCCAAACCAACACCCGAGCCATGTCAGCCACAAAACGATGGCCAACCGGACAGTTCCATGGGATAAGTGAACCCACACAGACCAGACAGTCGTGAAACCAAGTCGGAAGTGCTTTGCTCGCACAACGTCTGATTTGTGTCCGCGAGCATGAGTTGCATCCACGGGGCAGGCCGCGGCTCTCGTCACATGCAGACTTCAGGCAGATCCTATGCCACTCCCACGCCATGTGATATGCTCATGTATGCTCCCATCCCATTATATTATACTACAACATAATGTACTACAACGTACCAAAATATACTATGATGTGCGTCCCACACAGAAAACTGCGACCAAGAGCCTTGAGAGTTCAAGAGACAGCCGGGGGCTAAGCCAGGAAGCTCGGTTCCGTGAGTCAGAGACTCGCGGGAAGCACAACATCACGATTTCTGTTTGTTTGTGTTTAGGGTTTAGGGTTTGTAATTTTCCTTAATTAAACTTGGTTTCGATACATCTTCGGCGCCATGTCACAGGCCTCCGGGTGTTGGAGCTCCACTGCTGTCCCGGAAGCTGCATGGCACCCATTGGCGCAAAGTGCTTTTGCGAATTCGAATGCCGCACACGTTCACTTCTTCATCTTGCTCCCCTGTATCACCATGAACAATCCAGTCCCGAGCTGAGCTCGTAACATGCTTTCCGAGGGCATTGGAATCAACAGGCTGTTGGATGAGGTTCCCCGTGCGAGGCAGGCGAAACGATAACAGTTCAGCGCCATTGCCCAGCAACCTCACTCCACGTGCAATCTCGTGAGTGGACGGGTCAATGCACCTCAGGGTACAAACGCTCACTCTTGTATTTGGGCTTGCGACGAAGCTCCCGGCCTGCTCGGCAACAAATCAAACCCTCTCTGTGGAGAGCTCAACACGAATTTCTGCAAGGGCTGCCGAGTGGCACAGCTCACCTCGGCCAGAAGAAAAGCTCTCATTCGGCCCTTGATTTGGCCCTGTGCAAAATGGAGGCATCATTTGCGCAGACTGATTCCACTTAGTCAGATCTGGAAGCCACATGTACCGTTTAATCGCAAACTTACTTTGGACGAGCTTTGTCTCTGGGCCCGAACCCTCCCAACTTAAACTGTCGGCTCCCTACAGGTTTCTGACACATCTGGCGAACCATCGCGGCAAAACTGCTCGAAAAGCGAACATCCGCTCATACCCCGATGAATTCTCAAAGCCCAACCCTTTCAGCCTGCCAAAACAGGTGCTAGGATAGCGAACTCCACCCATGTATGGTGCAAGAGCTGCTAGGCCCCCTCCCCCTCCTCACCCCATGGTATCCCCTCCTCAATCCCTGTGGTTCCCTGTGGTGCAGGTTTGCCCCTGCCTTGCCCCCCCTGCGCCACCTGCCACGACTATTGCTGGTTGGGCGTCCGTTTGCAAAGGGTTTGGGCCTGAGGATACGATACAGTTCCACTGAGGGCGTTGGGGGCATACCATGAAAGGTTCTGGAAGGGCAGGGTCACTGACGCTGCGACGCGGGAAGATGTATTGCTGGATGCCTCGCAAGTCTTGTACGCAGCTCCACATCGCATTCATGCGGTGACTGTTCGAAGCTACGCTTGTGGGCGTTTTGCCAGCCATGTCTCCGCAAGGATGTAATGTGGCAACGATTTACATCTGAGCGGAATGTTCATTTCCGAGTTGGATGGTAACCAGCACATGCGGCTCTAAGCAAAATCCCAATCATTTTTTGCGCTTTGTCGGCATGTTTACCAAGTGATGCACCACGATTGCATGGCCTGGACAAAGCTGATGAAGTCGTCGCCCCTGCCCGCTAACAGAACGAAGCTCTCGTCGAAATGAGGGTACCTTGAATGACAGCTTGCACGGCACAGGTCCAAGCTTAGAGTTTGTCAAAACGTTTTGTAGTGTGGCATTTTGGACAACTACTGCAACTTCGACCAGCGCTGATAGCATCCAAGACTCAAAACCCCAGCTCCATCACTGGTCTCCCTTCTTAATCGTTTCCCCGTCTTTCCTTACTGGAGCCTACGACTGGCGCCAACAGAAAGCAGCAAGTTCAACAAGTCACTTCCAAGTTGAACTGAAACCCAATGTTCCAACACAAAACGTTTCATAAAGGATTGCCTGGATTCGCAGGTCCCACTCGCAGACATGCCTCTGCCCAGAAATTTCAAAGCCTGTTGTTATCAAGTGGTAATCTTCCAAGCACCATGTCAGCTTCGTCGGCCTTCTTGTTTGAGAGACCTCCGCAGTTATCGCAGTTTTTTGCTGGCGCGGATCGATGATGCGGAGATTTTTGTCGGCTGACGCTGCAGCGAGGAGGGAGCCCTTGCAGTTCCACTTGAGGTCTGTCAAAAGTTCTGGAACGGCCATGTCGAAATATGCCGTTTTGGCTTCCATGTGCCACACCTGGAAAGCACCACTGACATCATGCCCAAGTTTAAGCCAAGTGCGCGACATGCAGCTGCTGCAACCGCGGGCTTGACTGTCGCAGCCTTGATGATATAGTCAAGTCCAACAGAAGCCATGATGCCGACGGCAGTTGGGTTCCACTGCACGAAGGAGATTTTTTGACGATGGCCTGGCAAATTCCCTCAAAAAACAACTGTCTTGGCTTACAGCGGCTTCAGTTGTGCGCATCCCGAGAAAAGCCTTGCAAAGTCAACACCGGCTCGACTAATCGACGCCGCGGTGTGTCGTCCGGCAGGCGCCACAACTTCATCGTCCAATCTTCGCTTGAGCTGAGAAGAAGGCGCTCGTCATGCGGAGCGAACTCAAAATCAGTTATGCCTTGGCCGAAAGGAGTTGTGCAGGGCATGGCCCACTGCCGCTTGCCCACTATCAACCACAGCAAGATTCTGCGGACCTCCGGCGTGGGCAGCTATGAGGAATGGGCTTTCGCCCGTCCAGGGAACGACGTCAAGGCTGCCACCGCCACTCGCTTGCCGCGGGTAAGCGAAGAAGCTGGCATTTCCTGAGTTGAGTATTGGGAAGCGTGTTGTTGTGGGTTCCCAACCCCTCCAAACTCTGTCTACGGCCAGCCCACCTCGAATGTCGCCGCCGGCAGCCGGATTTAAGTCGTCATACAAACCCACCACCTGCAAGTTGCTTCACTTGGAAACAGCGCGCATCAGCCAAGCAAGTGCGCGGCCTTGCTACACACGTTCCTCATCGGCTTCATGGGCTCCTCGACAGGTCCCCGCCCGAACTGGGTCCACAAAAAACAAGCCCTAAACGGGAAATAAGGCCTTAGTCAAACCTAAAAAAATACAACGTTTTTCTTAGAAGGTGCATGGGGATTTGATCTTGATGACGTTCCTTGTCGCTCACCCGACCGAGCTATGAACAAGAGTGTGGTCGCCCTTCAACAGACTCGATAATCTATCACCTTCACGTCCACGCTCAGACCTTTATCCCTGGCAGGCAGATTCAGAGCTCCCTTTGTGATCGGCGATGAATCGTCTGTGCTCGGGATGGCTCTGTTCCTCAGAAAGGTCACAGAAGACAATAAGCTGTTCTAAGCTCTTGGCATCAGTATCTTGAGCTTGTGCTCGTTCTTGAGCCAAAGTTGCGTTGGCGGCATATGGTAACTGGTGCAGCTCTGTGGTATGCGAAGCATGCCCACAGGCTGACACCTAGAGATGGAGTACGCGTAGCGTGCCTCCACTCTTGACCTATACAAGTCGTTACTCATAGCTCTTATCGTGACACCACAGAACTTGACTGGGCATCGCAGTCCGAGCGCACCCCCCATGAGTTGTGTCTCCGACACTGCTCACCCGGAAGATGGCGCGATTGGAAATACTAGGGATTGATCCGCCGCAACCTCGAAATGTTTGGAACAAGAGCCTTGCATCCCAATTAAAAATGGCGTGACACTCATCTACTTCAGTAACGATCCCCCGAACGTCGTACAGAATCAGGCGTCACCGAAGAAAAGGCATTCACGATAAAGATCACGATCATACTGCCGAGGTCACGATAGCAGCGTGGTTGCAGCTTACGTGTTGTCCCGCAATCATTGACGAGCGCGTGCAGGATCACGTTCCCATGGCAGGAGGTTTTCCTCAGGATTCTTGGACTTCCCTTTCCTTTTGTTCTTGCTCTTTGAGTCGTGATAGGAGTTGGCATTCCATCCTCTCCATCGTTGATCTCGATCACGGGTAGAAGCTTTGGGAGCAGCCTTGGGACCTGCAACATGCTGACTTTCTTCAGCTGTAACCGAAGTATCCATGATGGACGTCTGTCCGCGAGGAAGGTGTTCGGATGCTGAGATGTGTTGTAGTGCAGAACGTGGAGCATTCGGATTTCTCGTCTTCTCGAGCTTGCTCGATGTAACCTTGTCGACAAACTTCGCTGGCATCTGGATGTTGTGGTCGATGAGCGCCGCGATCGTCTGTGACGAGTTGTCCCTTGTGCTCTGCATCATGAGGACACCCACGGGATCGACGTAAAGAAATTCCACTGGTCCAGTCGGAGTAGGTCGATTGAGAGAAAACTGCATACGTCCTGTGATCTTTGGGATAATCTCGCAGCGTACGTTCGAGCAGCTGAACTGCAAGATCTTCGGGTCGTTCTCAAGCTTCATGTAGGTAGCAGGGCTGAAGTCTTCTCTGCCGATTCCCATCTGAAACGCTCCTCGAATCAATGACGAAACCAATTGGTTTGTTCGGAAGCACTTGAGGGTGTAGGCGCCGTTCGGGTCGTCAGCCTCCCCTTCTCCCCTGGCGTAACGAAGAATCCCTTCATCAGTCACATCCTTGCTGACTTTAGTTTCAGGGTCAAGTTCAGCCAACTCATCCCATGAACCAAGCACATCGTACCGCTGACCCTGTCCAAACGACTCTTGCATTTGAAACATTGGCATTGTAAGCCATCTTGACAATCCGGGCCACGATGTGTAGATGGTTTGGCACAAGACGTAGGCCATGTAGGAGAGAGAAGCTCTGTTCGCGTCAATGCAGCAAGGATGTTGTAGTAGGGCGGTTGCATAGCCGTGCGAGCGATCTGGAGCTCAGGGTCGATGTTCAACGATTGTCCAGGGATGTGAATCAACCGACGTTCTTCAGCCACACTTCAAATTCTGCCTCCTCTTCATCGTCAATCATCTCTGCATCTGGTTCCTGCTCGGCCTCTGAGACATGAGCGTCTTCTCCTTCTCCTTCGTTAGCATCTGGAGGTCCCTCTGATTCTGCAATTATTTCCGTCTCCATTGCTTCTTGTTCTTCTTCGGATGTGGCCGGGACAGCTGCAGCTGCAGCTTCCATCGTTTGGGCAATAGACTCACTAGGGATCTCGGAAGGAGGCTCCCTTTGTGGCATACCCTGATATAGTGACCACAGGAGATGAACAATGACCAGCACGATGTGCACCGGGTGAAGCATGCGGGAACGATGTTGTAGCAAGCGGGACAAACCCTCATCTGTCTTCCGTCCGAAACTCGTCGAAGATCTTCAGGTCGCCAATGTGTGATGAGGAAAGTAATGCCTTCGCGCATGTGGTGATGACGTACTGTGTTCTCGCGATGCATGTCTAGTGTCCCAGCCAGCGAGCGCATAAGCTGCCCCTTCACTGTGTCGCGGGGACCAGACGGCATTTCGCACAACAACTCCATGATCCTTCCCGGGGTTCTGTAGCGGTCGAATTCCGAGAACAATGGAGAAGCGTTGAATTCCAGCACAAGCTCGCCTTTAAGTCTTTCATCGTAGATCTTCTCCACCAACGCGAATGAATGGCTGTTTCTTGGTTCGGGAACGCTCCTTGACAAATGAGGAAGGGCACCGGGCGTCCAATGATGATCACCGCGCTGTCTGTAATTCGTCCTCCTTCTCGAACAAGGTCGCTGGATGGAACATGAAGTACAGCAAGTGGCATGTATTCGTTTCCGCGTCCATGCACTCGTGTCTTCGTTGTAGCATTCCTCTTGTCGAAAGGCGCAAAGATCCCAAAGTAGCTGTGGAGGCGTCCATGTTCCCAGAGAAATCGCGAACTTGTTCTTGTCCAGCTGAAGCAAGTTGTTCTCTGGGTTGGTATGCGTCGAATGACCACTTGCGGCACGAACAGCCCAGGGCTTGACCCAACCCTCGCATGGTCGGAGGTAGCGCTGTTGATACCGTGTGTTTTCGTGCATCTGGATCTCGTGGATCTGGTTTTGCATCGAAACGAGGCTTTGTGTGTTAGCCGCGCCAATAGTACCAGCACCCGCCGGAGGATGCTTCACCCTTACTCCAAGGAACTGAAGCCTGATCTTGGCCTGGTGCCTTTTGGTGGCGGCAAGCATGTTCCCCTGGAAGAGCAACTGCAACCTTTGGTTGTAAACTCCCTTCCCCTAATCCAAGTCCGTTGGTGATGCTGCCTCGGTAATAGCGCGGCTATGGTGAGTCCATAGCTGTTCCATCCTCACCAAATCATCAATAAGCACCCATCCACCTTCATCACATTTGATGACGTCCTTGGAACGCAACACGGCACTTGTTGTCTAGCCACTCTGATCCTGGCTTCCTCGCAATCCGGTGTCGAAGATCAGATTGTATGCATGACAATGCCCAATTGGCGCTCTTGATGGCCTGGTACGGAAGATTGCGCACAACGACGTCCTCAACGAGGTCCCAGCGTGCGTTAATGAATTTGGCTCCCTTCGTTGGAATCAAGTCAAGGACGCCACATTGGATCGGATGTCCGTCTCCGATGGATTCGTAGCCAGGATTCGACCAGCGTCCCAAGTCTGCATCATATGCGTAAATCGGTCGATCTCCTCGTTGAGGTAGACGACGATCCCGATGATCGGACAATTCCTCTATCAAGTCAACGACTCTCTGGCTGATTTCGGGGCCCATGTTCTTCAATTCCATTCCGCATGCCCAATACAAGCCACGCCTGTTGTGAACGTCGTTGCAGAGATTGCGTGATGTGTCATACCTGATCAGCATCGTTTCACTCCGAACAGCTTCCCCTCCACGACGGCCTTATAGGCCTTCGCTCTGAGGATGCTCACTTGCATTCTCTGTGGCATCGACGTCCATGCTGTCATTCTGATTGGTGGATGATCGCCTTGGATAGCGAAGGATGTTATTCTGGACGGCTTCGTGTCCGCGTGTTACGATCTCACACGTGGCGGCATCATTTGTTCACGTGGCCAGGGTATGAGCATCGCTACCACAGGCTACGCAAAACATGAGCCTGTGGTGCTCTATCTCTACTACTCCAGATTGAAGCACGTTCACATCGTCAGACAACTGTGCAATGATCCCTTCGCGATCCCTGTAGAAGATCACGAGCTTCATCGTTCTGTTCTTCTTCAGGTTGGCCATCAAGCTCCATGTCTTGACTTGGCATTGGCGGAGCAACGGACACCCCTTCATCACTTGCAGGATCCACTGTCTCTTGCGAATTCTCGGCAACATTCTGCCCCGCAGGATAGGTGTCACCATCGGCAATCGCAATGAAATCCACGGAAAGTCCAGCCGACATGTTTGTAACAATGTCCGACATTTCCTCATTCTTCTTTGGTGGTGTTCTCCTGCGAGGAGAGTCAGCAGTGATGAGCTCAATAGCCTCAGCTGATGCGTACCGCCAGAAAGATCTCTCGACACCCCTCACGCATGCGTTTGCACCATCGAGCCCACCCCAATTCGGGAAATGCGACGGATACCGCATCGCCAACGTCAGAAGCCCAAGTGCCAATTCTAGGGCGTCACCTAAAAGTTCTTCTTTCGGCATGGAGACGCCCCGGTAACATGCTTGGCGTTCTTCCGTTGTCAAAAGCATCCTCATGAACGCTGCATAGGCACAGTTTCCGGCTTCATAGTAGCAGATGTAGCAAAGTTTTCCCGATGCGTCATAACCGCGGTCCCCCGTAGTGAGAAACCGTCTTGCCAATCTCTTCATACGCAACCGTTGCACACTGCTTGAGGAACTCCTTGATGTCCACACACGAACCAAGATACTGCAAGTGTCGATCGTAGATGTGGATCGCACACGCAAGCGAGTACTTCTGGGATTCAACCAATTCGGTGTAGTTGGCGATCATGTGCTGCATCTTGATCGCAGACGCGCGCACAGCCAATGCAAAGGTTCGCATAACCATTTCCAGCTGGTTGAAATTTGGCCTGCGCGAAGCGCTCGGTCGACATCATACCAAGACATGCCGGACAGTAATACGTTCTCCCTTTGACATAGCTC